TTATTATTATTATTATTATTATTATTATTATTATTATTGGCAGTTAAGGATTACAGGCAGCTTAGCAAAGATGAGATGATCTCACTAGAGGAAGAGAGATCTGGATTTTTGTCTTTCAAAATTGGGAGGAGGGAATGTCAGTTGTTAAAATAGCTAAGTTGTGTTCATCAAAAGCTTAATATACTTATTGCATTTATTTTACTTTAAACATGCCGTTATTTAAAGATTTGCTGCTGAATTTCATTTGTGCCTGGGGAAGATATTGAATTGGGTTTTTATGTATAAATACCCTCAATTTCTTCTATTTTTTTCCATGCATGTTATTTGTTTTGGTTAATTATTGCAATTATTCTGGTCTCTTTGATAGGAAATTTTAATCATCATCTTTATTAAAAAGCCACCATTAAATGTGTTCATTTTTAAAAACAGCTCATGATATTCTTCTGGATTTCAAATATTTCATTATATCATAATTGATTGCTGCAAACTATTTGGATTTTTAATGCAAGGAATATAAATATTATTTATATTTATATTTACATTTACATTTACATTTACATTTACATTTACATTTATATTTATATTTATATTTATATTTATATATATATTTATTTATATTCTTAAGTTTTCGTGGGTACTTACATGTATGGTATTCAGCTTTGTTCGGTATTTTCCCACATCATTGTAGTTGTGCTTTTAAAGTTGTAGCAACGTTTCAGCAGAATCTCATCTGCCATCATCAGGCTTCTGTATTGTGTTTTTTCTGTATTGTGCAAAACACAATACAGAAGCCTGATGATGGCAGATGAGATTCTGCCGAAACGTTGCTACAACTTTAAAAGCACAACTACAATGACGTGGGAAAATACCCGAACAAAGCTGAATAACATACATACATACATACATACATACATACATACATACATACATACATATTCGTAGATGTAAGATTAAGAGTATCTTGGTGATGTTTCAGTGAGGTCCCACTCGCCATCCTCAGGCTGGTGCTTTTGGCTTCATGCCAGTGCAAGCAGTGTGTGATCGGAGCTGCTGTCTCTCTCTAAATACTGGTGGTGGGGGCTGGTGTGCTGGGTTGGTTGGCTGAGCTGCTGCCTCTTGATTGGTTGATGGAGTTGATGTTGGTATAATGGGCTGTGTGATGGCCTTGTGAGTTTTGTTGAGGAGATATCCTGGATCTTGTGCTGTGATCTCCTGGGTCGTTTGTTTTGTAGTGATCTTTTTTCCATTAGCCTCTCATGTTTTAATGGCTTGGGTAATGGGTTGTGTGATGGGCTTGCGAGTTCTTTTGTTGTGGTATCTTGGGTCCTGCATTGTAATCTCCTGGGTCGTTTGTGTTTTGATCTCTTTTCCATTAGCCTCCTGTGTAGTAATGGCTTGGCAAATGGGTTGTGTGATGACCTTGTGAGACTTATTGCTGTGGTATCCTTGGTCTTGTGCTGTGTTATCCTGGGTCATTTGCTGTGTTGCAACTTCCTGAGTTCTTGCGGTGTAATTTCCTGAGTTTTTTTATGTGATATCCTCCCCCTACATCAAAGGCACCACAGACAAAATCAGCAAAATTCTCCACAAACACAATATCAGGACAGCCTTTGGCACTGACCAAAAAATAGCCAACATCCTAAGAAACCCCAAAGGCAAGATCCAGCTAGAAAACCAAGGAGTTTATGAAATACCATGCAACAATTGCCCAGCCACATACATTGGACAAACCAACAGGAGAATAAATGCACGCATCGCAGAACACAAAAATGCAGTCAGAAGAGAAGAAAATACTTCCTCCCTCTTCCAGCACCTTAAAGCCCCAGGACATGAAATTAATTTTGAAGGAACCAAATTAATATCCAACACTGAGCACTCCAGCAAGAGAATAATCAGGGAAGCCATCGAGATAGAGGAACACCCCCATAACATGAATAGACAGGATGATACCTCCTGCCTACCAGACATCTGGAAGCTAGCCCTCACCAACAAATGAGTCCCAGCCATGAAAACCAACACCAGACCCAAAACAACACGGGACACCACCGCCAATCCCCCTCATCAGACCCAAGTCCAAGCCCATCCTATAAACGAAGGACAACCACCATCCAGAAAACAGACCACGGCTGCTTCGCCAGCTGCCGCACCCCCGACCCCAAAACCAAACAAGCTGACACACGCCAAGAACACAGACCCAGACCCCAAACTCGAAGCCAGAATAAAACCCAGAATGCTACATCACACCCACTCAGGACATCACATCAGA